CGACGTTTATGATATACACCTGAGTGAATAAACCGAGCTTCAGAAAACATATAGCATGGCTTTATTTTTCAATAAAGTATATATACACACACATATACATAGATTTCTCATATACGTGTCTGTATGTATGTGTATATATATATATGACATAGGCATAAAGGTCATGAAATATATACTCCACATTATCAGCAGTTTTTACTCTCAGGAAAAATGGGAAGGGATGTAGAGGCCTTTCAGTACAACCACAGTTCTCTTTTCAGTATATCAGTTAAGTATACTTGGAATTTAAAAGTTTATTTAAGACCGAAGTAAAATGGACGATGCCTCCACAAGACAGAATGCTATACTGGTCATTAAAAATCATGCCAGGGGAGATAGAATATTGTAGAAAAACGTGTAATAAGCCGAATGGAAAATGGAGGTCTCCACATAGTAATCAGGCATAGAGTGCTCGGTGGTTTTTATGACAGATGTAATACACATTGATGAAAAGAACAGAAAATAGATGTTAAAGTGTTAATAATTATCTCTGAGTAGTGGGACCAGGATAGAAACTTTTGCCCCTTTTTTCAGACTTTTATATTAAATACACATTATTTTTCATCTGAAAAAAGCATTTTTAGATGTCTAGTAGAACACATTGATAAACATGCACGAGTACTTACCAAAACAAATAACTAGGAGAGACCACAGCAGCGTCACACAATTTAGAACGGGCGATCCTGAATAACACCACACAGTTACATAAGGACCCACAAAGTGAGAGCACCTGCTGTAACAGGGCGTGTCCCCCTTCTAGTTTTCAGTTGTGTCTTCAGGGCTGAGGCAGTTCTGAGCACGGCCAGTGTCAGTGCTGGTATCTGGATGGATGCCATGGAGGTGAGGGCACCTGCAAGCCGAGAGGAAGAACAGAAATCATCCTCTGCTTTTTCTGTCTTGTTTCTTTGTTACTTTGAAAGAGAGGTGTAAATAAAATAAAGAATCTTCCCTACTGAAATTTCAGTAATGAAACCGTTTTTAAAGTGTTCACAACTTATATTCTGCCTATAACTGTCTTTTCAAAAAAGCATTATATTTATTAAATGTTAATTAACTCAGTTAATTAACTATCTGTTGAAACCCATTAAAGAACATGAAATGCACTATGTAAAACCACCACGCCTGCAGTGACTAGCTCAGCTGTCTTGACGGCAGTGCAGTCAGCCCCCATCATCCCGTGGCCCTGAGCTCCTGATGCTGGTAAGAGAGCACGCTGCCTCCTCAGATGGAGAGAAAAGGTGAAAGCATTTTCTGAAATCTACAGCACTGACAAAACATAACTGACAAATCCCAGGCTCCTTGGAGGCTGTCATTTTCTGCTTCTGGCCAACAGCCGTCAATGAGCAGAAGCACCCCATTCCTGAGCCATGGGACTCACGTGGGAAGCAGTTTTGGAGAAATTTCTAGGTATAGAATGTAACCAACTATACATAGAACTCTCACAAAATAAAAGATGCAATACTCTGGTATTGGAACACACTCAAAATATTCTCCTAAGCCTTAGTAGATGGAAAGGCTGGGCTTCTCCTTAGCCACTTATTAATTTCACAGCCAGTGAGTATCTCCCACAAACACTGTTTCCCTGTGTCTGCTGGGAGCCTGAGGCACACTGCTGCTTTCGATCTTATAAGTCACAGGGCAGAGGCGTGTGTCTCATGCCGGCAACCCTCAAAGAGCGTCGCCTCCTAGCCTCACTGTCTGAACTTGGCCCCATTTTCTCACCTGTTTATTTTGGTATCTGTTTTTCTGTAAGCTGCCTGAAATGCGTTTTGGAACAAGTCAGAAGAATCAGTGGGTAGGTAAATGGACTGAAGGAAAAGTCAACAAAAAGAAGAAAGAAAAGGGGAACAAAGAAAATTTCCTATGCAAAACCCTATTCTAGTCAGGGAAGGAAACCACCACGGAGAAGTGTGAAGAGGCAGGTAGCTTAGGACTGTTTCCTTGATTCCATGAAAAGTCACACCAAGAGATGAGAGGGTAGAATTATAAATAATAAAAGAAAAATAGCATGCATGGTTGAAAAATATATCTACAATATGCACTTTATAATGAATAGATTAAAATCAGCAGGGCCCAATAACACAGTCATTGGGTATTCACAGAAGTGAGAATCACATCTCCAAACCACAAGGCATCCCTTCGTAGCAGAGAGTCAACACGGGGCGGTCACAAAGCCGTCACAACAAAAGCTATGCTATCCTGCACTTACGAGGAACGAGCAGGTGTGCTCGGGCTGCCAACGCGCATTATTTATCCTCCACAGCACCTCTACGGGGGGGAGGGACGCCTAGAGAGCGCCGTCTCTGCAGGACAGAAAACCAGTCCTGGAGAGGCTAAGCCGACCTACAAGTTCTCCATCTCACAGGACTGGTCAATTCAGAGCAGGACTAGAACTCGGACCCACGTTTGTAACCACAGTACTACCGTACTTTATGTGCTTTTTGTGTGTATAATACATTTGTTTCTGGCATGAAAGGATATGTAACAAACATTCGGTTGTTTTGTCTATCTCATTAGCTCACAATCTTTATATTTTTGAACTGTACTCTTTTCCCCTGGAGAAAGAACGGAAAGAGCACGTGTCAGAATGAGTTTGGGCTCCATTCTTTATCTGTTACCTCATCTCATCCAAGTCCCCAACCTTGGAGAAGGAGCAAATATTCTCTTCATTTTAAAGAGAGGGCTCCAGTGATGGTGACTTACTCAACTCGAAAACGAAGGCTGGGGAAAGGCACATGCAGCAACCAGAGCAGTATCACCGGTAGGAAGGCAAAAAGAGCTCAGGGGAGGGCTCAGGGGGTCAGGTTTATTTAATTTCATTCGATAAAAGAATACCACAGTCTAAAAATACTAGCATGCAATGTATTTGCTCTTTCTTGACATCTAAAATATTTCCACAGCCCACATGTAACATTATCGTGAACTAGTGAAAGGAAGAGTCCACAGACAGGGAAAATCAATGCCACAGGCAGGCTGAAACCCAGGCTGGAGGAAAGGAAGAGAAAGGGCATAGATAAGAAGAGGGGAAATTTCGGGAAAAAGACATTATCACAAGGACTCTCAAGCATCATCCAACAATCATATAATCATTCATTCAAGAGAGAGTTACTGACGTCCTATTTTGTGCAAGATTTTACAGAGGGCAAAGAAAGACCGCAGCGTCCATGGTGGCAGCAAGTGGCGGGGCAATAATACAATTCTGATCCCGGTACCTTGCACATTTGTACTCAGTATAAAGGCAAAAAAATAAAGTAAAATAATACTATGTAAACTCTACGCATTTTTGAAACAAAATTAAAGAAGACCTAAATACCTGGACAGACACACCACGCACATTCATGGATGAAATGACAGCGTTCTTGGTATGGCAGTGCTCCCCAGAACGATCCGTATACTCAACGTGGTCTTAATCACAATCCCAGCGGGCTCCTCTGCAGTAACTGACTAGCTGCTGCTACAATTCATATGGGAATTCGAGGGTCTCAGTAACCAAAACATACTTGAAAAAGAAGAACAACGTGAGAGGACTTGTAATTCTCAATTTCAAACCTTACAACTGTATCTCTAGGTGAGATTAGAGACAATTTTTAACTTATTACTGAGTTTATCCTTATTTTCTAAATTCTGTACCATGATTATACCTGTTAGAATAAGAAAAATAAAAAGTAAGGTATATTTTAAAACATGCACACCAATTCATTCATTGGGAAAAAAATTATTTTAACTATAAAGAGGTAAATAAATATCTAGTGAAAAGGACTACTTAAAAACAAGTGTGCATATACAATTTTCATAGTTTGAAAACTGAAAAGCACAAACACATCAAGTTTCTAGGGAGACTGTTGAAACATACTAATAGTTATTTTCAAAAATTCTAATTGAACAATGAAATCTCAAGAAAGGCAAATTCCTAATTGGCAGCCAACTGCAAACACATGGAGAGCAAAGGCCTAGAAATCACAGCTCCTTTAACTCTGCTACTAACGCAATACGAGAGGAAATTCCTCACTGAGGGGAAAGTGGAATCCCATGCATAAGACAGGATACACAGTACAAACTGCAGTATTAGGGGAGTGAATTTCTTAGAATTCTAAAGTTACAACATTGCTGAAAAACTATAAAAACATTGTCAGACAGATTAAAACATACAGTCATATATATTATATAGAAACATATGAAGCCTGCTCTCATGTTGCATAAAAATACAAACATGTTTGTTCATTTATAGGCACTGATTAATTTATCCCAGTTAGAATATTTCAACTAAAACAAATAATACTACACTCCTCTTGTCAAATCTACTTGATAAGTTATTCTGCTATATAAGCACAAAGTATCTAAGATAGATCTAAAATTAGTGAAAAAGATCTATGTATGGTTCCTTGAATTCTTCTCAAAATTCCAAGCTTAATTTTAAAATAGATCTGAGCAGTATTTCTATATTATCTATTCCCTTATAAAATGAACAACACAGTCTATTGTCAAAATTTTGTCCTTAAAATGATTCACGAGCACCGTATCCTCACAAAACTGCTGGACTGAAAGGCACTATCCAGACACTGTGACCGAACCAATCAAATACAAGGAATCAGTGACCCTATTCTGGAGGGCTTATAATCTGTGTCAACACTGGGGTTTTTATTTGATTGGTTTGATTGGGTAGCAAAATAAAATCAATCAAATACTTCCTTCCTTGAGCATTCTGTAAGTCATGACTGTTTTTAGTGTCATGAGCAGGAAAGACTTAAGCATGACTTGATTAGGTCAACTAGCAACAATCATCACTGGAGGGTGAATAATAAAGAAGTTAACTGATAGCAATGCTTCTGCCTACATGAGACCTAAAATAAACCTACACTGGTTTCCGAAAGGAAAATGAGGAGATGAGGTCCCCAATGAGAAAACAAACTAACAAGAAATCAAAAAAGGAAAGACGTTTTCATTAACGATTCTAGGCAGTAGTGGAGCATGGTGGTGAAGAGCACAGTTGCTGGGGACAAACATGAAGGTCTGAACTCCCACAGCACTGGGTAGCTGTGACACTGATATTTCAGTGAAATTTTCTGCATCTCAGTCTCCTATCCATAGACTGGGGACAACAACCACACCCATCCCCTAGAACGGTCCTAAGAATTAAGTCATTTTAGACATACAAGTTTAAATAAAATAATTCAGATTTTAAATAATATCCCAAAAGTACAAGGAACAAAGAAAACAGAGATAAATTGGAGTTCATCAAAATTTAGAACTTTGCTTCAAAGGGCACCATCCAGAAAGTGAAAAACAACACACAGGAGAAAATTTTTTCCAATCATTTATCTGATTAGGAATTTGTATCTCCAAATTTAAAAAAAAAAAAAAACTCCTACATCTCATCACTAAAAAGGCAACTCAATTGAAAGGTGAATAAAGGATCTGAAAATGTATTTTTCAAGGAAAATATACAAATGTCCAATAAGGACAATGAAACGATATTCAATATCATTAGCTGTAAGGGAAATGAAGTCAAAACCACTAGGAGAAACCGCTTCACACTCACTACAATAGGTTATAATAAAAAAAAATAACAAGCACTAATGAGGACACAGAGGAAGCGGAGCACGCAGCCCTTATTGGTGAGGATGTAACACAGCGTGGCCACTTTGGAAAACAGCCTGGCAGGTCCTCAGAGGGTTGAACATTTGGTTTCTGAATGAACCAGAATTCTGCTGTCTGGGCACACATGTAAGAGAACTGAAAACAAATGTCCACATAAAAACTTCTAAAGGAATGTTAACGGCAACACTACTCATCACAGCCAAAAAGCAGCAACAACCCAAATGCCTATCACCTGATGAATGGGTAAACAGTGGGGCCCAGCCATACAGTGGAATATTATTCAGCAATAGCGAAGCATAGAGTACTGACCCAGGCCACAACCTGGACAAACATGGAAAATGCTACTCAGTGTGAAAGAAGTCAGTCACGATAGTCGGCTCCACTTACAAGAAGTGACTCGATTTACATGAAATGTCCAGCACAGGCAAACCCACAGAGAGAGAAGAGTGGCTCCTTGGGGCTGGGGGAGGATGGGGAAGATGGGAATGTCTGCTTATGCATACGGGGCTTCCTGTTGGGGAGATGAAAATGTTGCACAATTCTGGGCATAGAGTAAAAACCGCTGTACATTTTAATGGGTGAATTGTATTAAAACTGTTAAGAAAAAAAAAACAACTCTGGCCAGTACCTTCCATAGTAAATGCAAATTTCTAACTTCTGTTAGAGGAAGAAGAAACTGTCTTCAGCATGATAGCAGGAGATCAGCAAACGTGAGTTAACTGGAATTGACAAGAGCATTTCACTTGAAACAGTTGCTGAGTGTACATGAAATATTCAGAAATACGAAAATCAGTTTGACATCACGAAGAAACATTCTGCTTCAAATGCAGATGAAGTATTGTGCAAGCCCAGCAGCTACAAAAGAACAGAGAAGAAACTTGGTTCTTAAAACAAGTACCAGAGCCAACAAGGAAATCGTGGTGAGGAAAGTAGGCGGCCGAAAATCTGGAACAATTTGCTACAAATAGTTTCTCCACTGAAAATTTAAAAATAAAATGAAAGTGATGCAATGCTGTGTTGACCTCACGTGAATGGGCTTCCTACGGTGCTCGACTCTTCTATAACCCCAACTGTGAGACTCAGGAGAATCAGCATGGCTCCTGGGGGTCCCCAAAGGACTACCCACCAGCACGCTGACCACCATCAAATCTGCCAGTGTT